AATCTCATGGTCCGTTGTTTCCGGAAGAAACACAAACACGAACCGTTTTCTTCTCTTCAATATGTACACGTAGCCTACTGTTCGCACTCACCTTATCACCTTATTCACATCTCACCAGCGCACATGGATCGGCGTTCGTAGATCGACTGGTAGAGACTATTTTTCCAAGATGGCTTCTTCCTGTATTCGCGAAGTTGACTGTGTGTATAAAATATCTTCTTATTAAACTGTTTGGATACTGACAAAGTTCTCAATGCTTCGGTTTGAATGTAGGGACTCTTATTATGCTATTGTGTTAGTGTGGGGCTACTTTGAGCCTTGTTAGTGGTAATAACAAGCGATTTTTATTTGTCATTACTCTATGCCCCATATACTAGCATTATACTAGCGTTATAGGCTAACCTGTTTTTAGAGATAAAACTATTTACATTCGGCAATCATGAAAACAAATCTCAGATAACGGTTGACTAGGTAACAATGTGTAATTAGACCAAAGGTTCATTTTGCGCTGGAGTTGTCCTTTAACATGCGAACCGAAAAAAATACGCGCTGATCACGCTTGCGGTGGCTGCGATCAGCTCTGGTAGCCGTAACGCGCTGCAACACGCCGCAGATGTGCAGTATAAATAAGGGGTTAAACGTCCGTCACACTTTTTCTGTCAGTGGTATAGAGTACCTGCTACATGCGAGAAGTAGCGGTACGCAAGAAACAATGCAGGTACGCGTAAGAGTAAAATGTAGAAGTGCTGATACTGCGAACCGGTGAGTGCCGCCCCACTTCGAGCACTGGTTATCTGCAGTGTTTACATGTCACATTTTAGTATCGGTACCTCAACCTCAAGTGAGCCGTACCGAGACTATGCCGTGGAAAAGCCCCATAAGCCTTGTCTGTGAAACTGCGCCTTGATATCTCTCGTAAATTTTCATTTGGGGAAAATATTGGTCACTCATAATAACATAAATAACATGCAAGCAGCTCACCTTCATGCACACACACACAGAGGCCAGATTCACGTCGGCCCTTTAAACTAAATGAAACCGGTTCCCTTTCATTGATTGTTTCTTTTATAGCGTAGTGAGAGGGAATACTTTGAGGGAATTACTCACGCTCCCGACGCAAAGTGCTCTTGTGTGCGGCTAACGTTGGCCTGTGAATGAGGAGCTGTGTTTGCTCAACTAAACTCCAGAGCACAATCAGGTTTTGCGAGATTGGAGGTAGCTCTGTCTCGAACCAACTGGAGAGCGGCCAAGCTTTTGCAGGAGTTGCTCTTTTCTTCTGTGCGATATTTACCAGAGGTGGGGGACTCGAGTCACATGACTTGACTCGAGTCTGACTCGAGTCACAATTTTCAGGACTTGTGACTTGCTTGATTAAAGTACAAAAATGACTTGACTTGACTTTGACTTGAGAACAAGTTACTTGAGACTTGACTTGACTTGAAGTGGAAGACTCGACAATGACTTGAACATATAATAAACAAACAGCAATACAGTTAATTAAAATATATATATATTGTGACATCAGCATCACTATATCGGCATCTGTGCCTTTAACGCTGCTCAATTCAAACCGCGCCAAACGGAAGTTCCGGGACTGGGAGTCTCACGCATATTGATAGCGTGTCCCTGATGCCTGCAAATGAGTTAAAATCTCCCGGAATCTAGAGCGAGATACTGCGCGTATAACATACATAGTGTGCGGCGTGTGCACGGCAGAGATATGGGAAGCCAAACAAACCAAAAGTGGGACTAGACAGCGGGGCTTTACAGAGCTCGTGCCGTGCAGACATGTCATCTGCACGGTTCAATGATCCGAGCCGCGCAGCCGATTCGTCAGCGCAGCGCGGACGTGTTTCCTAGCGACACTCAATAGTCAGCGCTGCACTGACCAATTTAAAGCAACGCAAACCATATGCTACATACTACATGCAAATAAATGTACAATAAAGAAACCCCTCCTTCCTTACAAAGAATTGTTCTCTACTGAAGTTTAGGAGTTAATTATGGAGAATTCCATAATTAAAACAATCATTTGTTAATATTTATGTAAATTTAATATATAATATACATAAAATTATTTAATATGTAATATTAAATATAAAATATGTTAATATAACATATTACCATTTTTATTTTATATTTATTTTAAACATATTTTAAATATGTTAATATAACATATTAACATATTTTATATTTATTAACATATTTTATATCCCCCCCTCCCTAACATTACATTCATTGAGATATACCTCCCTGAAATGAATTCTTGTAGGTTGGGATGTCTGTATATGCAGCATAGATATACACGGCTGTGGAGCTGCAAATGCGTTTTACATATAGGTTTCAGTAAATCGAGGAAAATGAGTTTCCGAAGACATTTGTTGGCTATGATAAGAAAAACTACTAAATTAAAAAAAAAAATGCATTTTATATTCTCATACATTTCATACATTTTATATTTTATATTTTACATTTATATAAGATATAAGATATTACATTTTAGATTTCATACATTTTAGACCGTTTCAATTAATTTGAATTAAACAGATTGGATTATACATCTTAGAATCGATACATCTATAGACGTTTTGTGTAAACAACACAATTTTATTTTATTTTCAGATATTAATGTAGCACAGATATGCATATGATTAATATAGCAAATGTATATTAAATAAGATACATAATATATGTATAAAAGTTCATCTTTTCTGTGCAAAAATAAATATGTATCGAAAAAATTTACCTCTATTTATTTTAGTAGTGTGACTTGACTTTACTTGAAACTTATCAGGACTTGACTTGACTTGCTTAGGGTGAACCCTTGACTTGACTTGACTTGCTTGATTTATCTGAACTGCGACTTGAGACTTGACTCGAGACTTGATGGTTAAGACTTGAGACTTGCTTAGACTTGACCATGTGTGACTTGTCCCCACCTCTGATATTTACTTTACAAGCTATTCAGGCCTAGACAGACAAGCAAGGAAAAAAAAGACTCACAAAGTCCCTCTTTAACACATATTCATCTCAGGTATTGACACAACAGTGAGGTTCCAATGAAATTAGTAGAGATGTTGAGCTCGGTTTGAACTGGAAAGGGTGGTTCACGTGTGATCGGTCCGAGCCGGTAAGGGGGTGGACGCGGGGGCATGGCGTGACTCGTACTCTTTATTGCAGGATAGAGGATTGAGTCTGTCCTCTTTTATGGGAAATGAATGAATAAACATTGGCGAGTCATTCTTTTGTCGTGACTCACAGACATACTTTCAAGCATGATAGGTATAATAGGGAAATAAAGCAGTTGTGTAATTTGACTGTGAATTCTTTTGGATGGATGCCACGGTGTAAAACAACAACATGTACAGGCAAGGTAGAAAGTCGATTTACTTCCCCTCCTTTTGTGTGCTGGTCGCTATTGTGAAAACTGAGATCTCTGCGATTAGAGATGCATCTGACCCACACACTGATTTGCACATTGCTTTTGCTGTGTTGTTTGCTAAATAATGAAGTTTAATTGTTGGTTGTCCATTAAAGAGACAGTTAACCCAAATGTGATACATTTACTCACCTTCATGTCGTTCGAAACATTTTTTATTCTTTGGATGTACCATTATAATGCATTTTATTCTACCTGTGTGCTTTATTTCATGTCTTCTGATGTCAATTCAATAACTTTTTGGTAGGAATAGAGGAACAGTCATTTTAATCTTGCCTTCGGCTGTAGATCTTCTTACACTTTATAAGGCAGAGAGTAAATATTGATTTCGAATGAATTTTTGGTCTGTTCCTCTCACAAATCTATCAGGTTTTACCAATTTGAGGTTGTGTATAGATGCTGAATGTTCATTATTTGGTGTACTGTCACTTTAAGAGTGTAGTTCGCCCAAAAATAACAGTTCTGTCATGATTTATTCTCTTTGTCATATTAATATATTTTGGGTAATCTACAAACTGATCTTTTACAGACAATGCAAACAGTGTACAAAACCAATAAAAGTACCACAGAAATAGTCCATACTTCACATTATGAAGCCATACGATTGCTTTATGTTCGAAATTTAAACTGTTATTTGACTTCTGAAGTCTCAATGGACAAAAGACTAACATAAGCATAATAATATAACATTTAGTCATCCTAATGCCATTCCAAGACATTTTGGAAAATCTTTAAACTTCATTTTTTTTCCATACAATAAAAGTAAACAGTACAAAACTACCATAAAAACACTCAATAATACAATAGATAGAAAAATGTTTGTTTTTATTTGAGCTCTGAAATCTCATTGGTCTCATCTGTTCGTCACACAAAACTATTGTATGACTTTCGAAGACTTAAGAAATATAGAGCATGAACTAGCTTTTTGTGATACCAGTCTTCACTTTCATTGTTATAAAGAAAGAAAAAAACTTGCAAATTTGCAACATGAGGGTGAATAAATGATGACAGGATGTTCATAATTTGGTGAACTATCCCTTTAAAAGTGAAATTTGCTCCGAAATGATAATTCTCTCATCATTTATTCACTCTAACGTCATTGTTGGATATTTTGTGGAATCTACGAACTCGCTCTTTTCCATACAATGAAGCAAAGAAACCAGAAAAGTACCACTTTTGTGCTTAACTACAAGCCATACGATAGATTTTTGTTCAAAATGTACGTTTTTATTTGAGTTTATGTCTCTCCGACACACAAAATGTTAAAATCACTTCAAAAAGACTTTAAATATGGAGCATGGACTAGTTTTACAGTGCTTTTTTTAATGCTACATTCCCTTTCACTTTTACTGTATAGTAAAGAGCAGCGTGAACATTTTGCATAACATCTCTTTTTGAGTTTCTTGAAGGGAAAAAAAAAGAAAAACAAACAGGTTTGGAACGGCACGAGGGTGTTTAAATGATGATAGACCTCATTCTTGGGCGAAACATCCCTTCAAAGTTGGTCAGAATCGAGCAGTAGGTGTATTAACTGCAATTTCTGTCTGATATTGTTCGGTAGGACACAGACAGAAAATGGAAGACCCCCCAAAACCTCCGCTGTTCTCCGAGCGCCTGAGCGAGTTAGAGCGTTTACGCCAGACCACCATGAGAGTTGCCGTGCAAACCCAGAGTCCCCGGCCGTCTCTCAACGCCACGCCGAACTCCTTCAATCCACAGGGGCAAACTCAGATCTCAGGTAAACCGGCCCAGGCATTTTCCTTTCCCTTTAACGCAGATATTTTAGCCTGTCTGGCCGTCTGGCGTGATCTTTAATGGCGAGTCGCTTGGTTTGTGTACTGTACAAGCATCTGTATTTGGAGAACAGGTAGGTTTATTCAAGGCATTTGGCGAAGATAAGCCTCCAGAGATAAAAGAGAGTGGGTGAGAGGCGAGCTTCGTGATGCAAGAAATAGAAATGCCATACAGTGTGAATCAGATTTAAACATGGAGATACTGATAGACGTGCCAGGTCTGACAGTCTCAGATCCTTTTGTCTACTTTTACTGGAACGAGGCATTATCTTTGTTTGGGATTGGCTGCTTACATCACCTTAAAGGGATAGTTCAGCCAGAAAGGAAAAGTCATTATTTACTCACCCTCATGTCATCCCCAAAACCCGAGTTTCTTTCGTCCATGAAACACAAAAGATGTTTTGAAGAATTTGTATGGTTCTCTTGGCCAGGCAACAACAAAGCAGAATAAAAGAATGATATTTACAACATTTTTGAAGGCTTCAGAAATCATATGAGGCAGACCCAATTTTAAATCTCCCCCTCTGTTGTATAGCTCTCAAATCACACACAACAGGTTCTGGCGGAGATTAATGAAGATTCCTCTTTTTTTTTTTTTCCTTTTTTTTTTTCCACAGAAAAAAATAACAGCTTACGGGTTTGGAACGACATTAGAGTGAGTAAATAATGACAGGTTTTCTTTTTTTGGGTGAACTATTGCTTTAATTCCATTACATTTGTCCAAATATTTTCATTAGTTCCTGCTTCACTTTTGGCATATTGGAGCTTGGGGTATTTTTTTTATTATTATTTCACATATGTGCTCAACTTTAGAGTTTGCATAATGTTTGCCATTCTCTTGGATGGTCTCCAGTCCCACTCCTGTCGGAGCAGACGCTGTGTTTACTAGAATACTGTAGAAAGCAAACAGGAAACCGTTCTTGGCTCTGAATGTGATTAAGCTATTTACATAGCATGGCCTTTTATACTAGTCAGCTCGGTCTTGGTCTTCATATTGTTTTAAAGAGAAAGGTCATCCACTTTGTGTGCACAATGAGTCTTTTTAAATGTGGCTCATAAAGAAGAACTTTTTTAAGGGTGAACCTCAATAACATGTCCTAGTTACCCCAAAATATAAGAAATGTTCTAATTATATGTAAATTAAATTATATATAAAACATCTTAGTCAATACAAATATGCAGTAAAATTACTTTATAATCTAAATATTTTTTATGTCATTTAAATTATTTTGAATGATGAATGTGCCATATTATATTATATCATTATATAATATATTCTATATTTAATAAGCTAAATATAATAAAATGTATTAATAATTAACTATAAATTGATTCATAAAATGGTAACACTTTACAATACGGGTGCACTAATAAGCATTAATTCATGCTTAACTATGCTTAATGATTATCTAAGCTATTCATTAACGATTACCACACTAGGAACTAATTAAAAGTTGGTAAGGGTAATGTATTAGTTCATACATGAATTGTTTTTAATTAAATATGTAATTATGGATTAATTCCTTAATAACTATTTTTAACTAATAGTGTTAATTAATATGTTAATTACCAAAATGAGCCAAAGGCTTGTATTTCAACTTCCAGATAATATGACAGGTGCACTAATATGCATTAGTACATGATTAATTACTTCATTGTTAGTGCAAATTTAAGTGCAAATTACTACAATTACTAGTTAATAATGATGTGCCCCAACAAGTAAAGTCATAATATAAAGATACCTTTGCAAATCATTAGCTAATTATTAATTAAAGCAGACAACTGGAAGTTTGAAGTGCATAGCTTTGACTAATTGTGGTAATTAACACATTAATTTACACTATTAGTTAATAAAATATGTTATTTAGGAATTAATACACAATGACACATTGAATTAATAGCAATTCATGTATTACTTAATCTATTGATCATATGGACTCTTTATTAGTTGCTTATGCTGTAATCATTAATTAATGGTTTAGTTCTTCATTAGGTATACATTAACTCATGATTATCTGTGCATTATTAAAGCGTGAATTAATGCATATTAGTGCACCCGTGTTGTAAAGTGTTACCCATAAGATTAATAATTAAAGCAGTATTTATCTATATACTCAGCGATTAAACGCTAGACGGTCTAGTAAGAGCGCATGGCTACGTCACGGCACAAAAATACTATTAAAACTTCATTTTAAACTGTTTTTATCATTGCAATAAAGTGAATAACTGATGTCTGTGTCTCCCATTACATTATTGTCAGTTTAGTGCTGATTAATTTACACCAAAACAGAAGAAAACATCTATGCTTTCAGGTCCGAAATCATTATTTTTGTTTTACATTTCATCATAAACTCAGGAAAGCTCAGTACCGACTCGTTTTCCGTCAGTTTATTTTTTGTAAATTGGAATATGTGCAAAGGATTGTGGGTGAAATAAGGCCGCAAAGGACACATCCGATGCATCCTTCACAATGAGCTGAATGAAGGAACCGAAACAAAGGCTGCTTTCTAAGTATCCTTCAAACTGAGACGGCCATCAGCGACGTTTGATTTGATGACGTGGCAGCCGAGATGCCGCCTTCCGTTTGAGAAACACCCGATGGCTCTCTTTATGAATGGGCCATTGAATCAATGGTTCACCCGACTGATTCGTTCAAACCATGGATTCATTCAGAAAGGAAGCACTGTGTGTTTGGAGACTCACAAAAGTTGTGCTCCGCCTATATTTTCGTTGGCAAAAATATGCAAAAGCAGACAATATTGTGCCTAAAATATGACACGATATTAACTTCTTATTTATTGAACTGTTGTGTAAAATCAATATGACATTTGAACTTTTCAGGACAAAACATATCACATTCTTGTTACTTGTGTGATATTGCTTACCTATATCATGATATAAATACAGGGGCATAAGTTGTTGCACTGCTTCATGTTTGTCACCAATCAACTGTCTGATCGGATGAATTTCGTTGGTCCTGGGTGCGTTAAATGCATAATTTTAACGTAATTTTCCCCCACAGCTAATGAATTAAATTAACACGTTAAATAAATCACTTTGATGCTATTGCATGCAGATCGTGGCTCTGTCTCTGACCTGTGTCGTCTCATTTGTCATCTTCACAGATCCGCGGCAGGCACAATCCTCTCCGCCCTGGTCCTACGAGCAGCCGTACACTCCTTACCTGAGCCAAATGACATCTCCCTCCATCCACTCCACCACCCCGCTGTCCTCCACCCGCGCCACGGGCCTGCCCACCATCAGCGATGTGCCAAGACGCCTCTCAGGTACACAAACATAAATCAACATTAAGACCTTCATCATCTCAACTGTTTCTAGACGGAAGTGACGAGATTAATAGCAGAACAAATGGAGACTGACTTCTGCTTAAGTTTAGACCTGAATTTCAGATCTCAAAAATGTCTCAAACTGTGCTCAGATGCCAGTTAAGTCAGCTATATACTCAAGCATTTTTCAAGATCAAATTATCTGAGCTGCTTTACATAGACTTTATAATGGAAGCTTGTTTCCGCCACAGAATAAAAATAAAAAAGGTAATTGGGACTTTTGATCTCACAATTCTGACTTTTTTCCTCACAATTGAGAGTTTACATCTCGTAATTCTGACCTTTTATCTCTGAATTGCATGATATAAAGCCGCAATTGTTATAAAGTCAGAATAAAGTGATATAAAGCTACAATTGTGTTATAAATTCAGAATTAAGTGATTTAAAGCCGCAGTTGTGTTATAAAGTCAGAATTAAGTGATATAAATCTGCAATTGTGTAATAAAGTCAGAATTAAGTGACATAAAGCTGCAATTGTGTTATAAAGTCAGAATTAAGTTATTTAAAGCCGCAATTGTGTTATAAAGTCAGAATTAAGTGATTTAAAGCCGCAATTGTGTAATAAAGTCAGAATTAAGTGATATAAAGCAGCAATTGTGTTATAAAGTCAGAATTAAGAGATATAAAGCTGCAATTGTATTATAAAGTCAGAATGAAGAGATATAAAGCTGCAATTGTGTTATAAATTCAGAATTAAGTGAAATTAAGCTGCAATTGTGTAATAGAGTCAGAATTAAGTGATTTAAAGCCGCAGTTGTGTTATAAAGTCAGAATTAAAAAGCTGCAATTGTGTAATAAAGTCAGAATTAAGTGATATAAAGCTGCAATTGTGTTATAAAGTCAGAATTAAAAAGCTGCGATTGTGTTATAAAGTCAGAATTAAGTGATATAAAGCTGCAATTGTGTTATAAAGTCAGAATTAAGAGATATAAAGCTGCAATTGTGTTATAAAGTCAGAATTAAGTTATATAAAGTTGCAACGGTGTGTTAAAAGTCAGAATTGAGTGCTATAAAGTCGCAATAGTGTGTTATTGATGATATAAAGTTGCAATTGCCTGTTATAAAGTCAGAATTGTGAGATATAAACTCACAATTGCAAGAAATATACTCCCAATTCTGATTGTTTTTTTCTCAAAATGACACTTATATCTCACAATTCTGACTTTATAACACGCATTTGGGAGATATAAAGTCAGAATTGCATGATATACTGTAAAGTCGCAATTGCGTGTGCATGATAAAGTCAGCTTAATAACTCACAATTTGCCACTTTATATCTCATAATTCTGAGAAAAGATGTCAGAATTGCATGATATGAACTTGCAATTGCGTGTTATAAAGTAAGAACTGCGAGTTTATGTATCTACCTCGCAAATCTGACTTTATAACACGCAATTACTACTTTATATCATGCAATTCTGACTATATCTTGCTATTGTGAGATAAAAAAGTCGCAATTATCTTTTAAAATGTTTTATTCTGTGGCGGGAAGTGGGAACAGGCTTTCGTACTTTATAGCTCTCTTTATATATACTCTTAGGGTATAAGCGTCTATTGTTGTTCCTTATAAAGGTATTGTATGACAAACATTTGAGCCCAAAATGATATTTAAAGTCTAAATGTAGCTTTTCAGCCTGTTCCTGTGAACATCAATGTTATTTAGACTCATTTTCTTACCCAGATTTTTATCAGATAGAATATAAAACAAGCCCCAACACTACCTTTTTTATCATTGAATATCCTGTTTCACACAGATACACATCATTCAGATTAGTGAAGTGAAATGGCGTTTCACTTGTTGACGCTACATGAATCATAACTGAGCTATTAAAGAGTACCCTCGGAGAAATGAAATTCTCCTGAGGGCCTTATTACCTTCTCAGCCAACCTCTCATTTGAGAAATGTGGGAAATAGAGTGTCTCAATGTGTCTGTATTTACTTTCTCAGCTGATCGTGTTAGCCGTGAACATTTGTCCAAACACTCATTCGCTTCTTTCTTCACTGAAGTCAAATCAAAGCATTTTTCCAGCGTTAACTTTCTGCTTTGTAAGCGTTTGTTACTTTGCCTGTGGGCAAATGTCTTCCAAGCAATAGCACCTTTAAAAATAGAGAGCATTTGAAAGAATATCTCCTCTAACCCCCCGTCCTCTCCAATGGAGTCTTTGAACTCAAGTCCCTTTTGAAATGCCTTTAAAAGGAACAAGAGTTTCTGACTCATGGAACTCAAAAGGTAGAGTAAGCGTGTGTAGCGCATAATGTGTCCATGGTCTTTTGGGTCCAAATGTTTGTGTGTGTCATAAGTTCTATAACTTGTCCTCACTAGATCACTGTAAATGATCCTGCTTTTTTTAAAATGATTATGGTGCTCTTCAGCCATTTTTGACCGAAAAATGCTACGTTTTTATTTTAATTTTTTTTTACTTCATCGGAATGTTACGAAACTTGGTAAATGTTTTGCCACTTTCTATGTGAACACACTTTTTTTTTTTTCCGAAAAGGTTAAATGGTCCTGAAAAACTAGTCACACTTGTGCTCCTCGAGGTCAAAAATGTCAAATTTCATCTAGTGAAATCTTTTGGTACTGTGCCTAAATAAAATCTTACTGAAAGCAATTTTTTTTTAGATATCAAGCTCAAATTTCGAACACAACTTATTTCGATTTTTAACTTTGACTTGGGAATAATTTGCCAAGTGACGTCTTTAAAAAGAGATCAAACTTAAGTCTTCAAAACATTCCAGATTTATGACAGTTTAAGTTGGAAATTTAATGCGTGAATAAATGGGTTATAACTGCTGTGTAAATATAATGTAATACCATAAAATCCCCTATTTTTAATTTTTTTAAATTTTTTATTTACTAAATATTAAATAAAAACTAGGGCTGTCAAACGATTAATCGCGATTAATCGCATCCAAAATAAAAGTTTGTGTTTACATAATATATGTGGGTGTAATGTGTATAATTATTTTGTATATATATATATATATATATATATATATATATATATATAATATATATAATATACACACATGCATGTATATTTAAGAAATAAATATTATTTTTATATAAGATATTTATATTTATAATATAAATTATATATAAATCTATATACAGTATATACTGTACATGAAAATATTTCTTAAATATATACAAGCATGTGTGTGTATTTATATATATATATAAAATAATTATACTCGGTGCACCCAAAAATATTATGTAAACACAAACTTTTATTTTGGATGCGATTAATCGCGATTAATCGTTTGACAGCCCTAATAAAAACATTATCAAACTAAAATGCAGTCGATTCCTTTCATTGAAATAAAAAAAATAAAACGATTCATGTTTAACCGCCACGTGAAGAGCACCAGAGGGTTCAAATGATCTAGGAAAGACCCAAAAAATCGCATTTCATTGTTTTAAAATTGCATTTCAATACATATGAGCTCATAACAGTTTTAGACGGGGGAAATGTTTCTCGTCAGCTACACAAACGCTCTCGAGTCCAAAATCTTTGGAAGAGTTTGCTGTGACTGCCTTTATTAATGAAATAGGCACCAGATTGTGGTCCACCCACCCTTTGGGGGTGGACGATTTCTTTAATACACCTGTTTGACTCTCCGCCAGGTTGGTTTTTGAACTCTCTTTTTTCTTTTGGCTCCCCACCCTAACTGATTTCTTTGAGCCTGAAGCGAATGTGAAAGTTTAAATGACTTCTTGGTGTGGCTGCTTTTTGAACCCCGGCCAGCTGCCTCGTTGGGTTTGATTAGTTTAGATTTCACCCGGCTTTCATCTTGGAGATGTCGGCCTTTGTTCTTTCCTCAAAGAGACACACGCACCTCTTGGTCCTAACGCCCCCTTATTCTTCCTCTGAGCGCCGCTGAATGGCTCAGCTTGGGGAAGACACGTCCCGAACGCATCTCACCCTCTGCAGCTGCTCTGCGTGGCTATTCTTCTCTATCGTGGGCTCGTGTTACACCTTTCAGCCAGAGAGAACTCGTGACTGATAAGGACGCGGATGAAGGCATGAATAATATTACACACAGAGAGATGAATTATCAGATTGGGATCACAGGACAAAGGAGAACCGCAAAGAACTTTGATTTTCCCCGGTTGTGAAAGGATGTTTAAGGAGGGTGATTTAAAAGTACAGTACTTTGAATCATGCAGTGACACAGAATGCATAATACAGATCAAATATATACCTTGATTAAAACAGAAGGTGGCTTTGGATAAAAGCATCTGGCAAACGATCTATGGATCATGTGCTTTAAGGTGCACGCCTGCAAAATATGCAAAACTCTAAATCATGCACTCTAAACAATGCTGGGTTGTTTGGGTCAAATATAGACAATCCAAATGTTGGGTTAAAAATGCAATTTGAAATTTTAACCCAACTTCAACTTTCACTTTCAACTGTACATTTTTTTTAAATCATATTTTTAACCCAACATTTGGGTTTGTTTATATTGAAACAACCAAGCATTTTTTAGAGTGTAGTATTTAAATGGCAATCCAGTAACAGTAATATTGTGAAATATTATTAACATTTAAAAAATATCTGTTTTCTATTCAAATATGTTTAAAAAAAAAATTATTCTTGTCATGCAAAGCTGAATTTTCAGCATCATTACTCCAGTCTTCAGTGTCCCATGATCCTTCAGAAATCATTAGAATATGTGGATTCGCTGCTCAAGAAACATTTCTGATTATTATGAATATAATGTTGAGAACAGTTTAATATATTTGTGGAAGCCGATACTTTTTTTCAGGCATCTTTGATGAATAGAAAGTTCAAAAGAACAGGATTTATTTAAAATAGAAATCTTTTTTTTTTAATATTATAAATATCTTTATTGTCACTTTTGATCGATTTGATCGATCCTTGCTAAAAAAATAATTAATTTCTTCAAAAAAAAAAAAAAATTATTATTGACC